GGCGGGGACAGAGCCTCCAGGATGTGCGGCTCGCCGTCCTGGCAGAACTGCTTGAACATGTGCTTGTCGTCACCCGCCATCTTGCACGAGTAGCTCTCGATCCTGTTGGATGACATCAGAAAAAATAACTAAACAAAACAAAAACACTTAACAAAAACGAGCCTGAACAAGGAGTGCTAAGTAGGAACAGAACACTGAAAATGGCTGCCAAAAGTCTTCTTGTGGTTTTATTCCGGATAATGTGACAAGAACAAGTTGCGACACACTGAGGGTTTTTTTTTTCTTCGGGTCAGGCGCCGTTGAAATGTAATACGGCAGTTACGCAAGAGCTTGTTTCAGTCGACACTGACACAGCTGACCAACCCCCCCCCATAAACACAGCTGATGTCAACAAACATCCTACACACTCAACCACCAACACTTGAGCCGACACTCCAAAAGTGGTACGCTCCAAAACGACTTTAGAATTTAGAACCAACAATGGTGCCTTGACAAACAAGTGACACTATTTCGGAGTTTGACAGATGCGAGCTATGATTTATTTATTTATGCTTTGACAGTGAACTCAACAAGCTGCAGGTTGGCACAGTGATCGATTCTTCGGGTAAACCATCCAGCGCCGGAGTACTTTCTTCTCACCTTGCTAATCTGCTAAGCGGCCTCCATGTCAGCAAGCTTTTACTAAACTGTGCACAACTGCAAGCTACAATGCGTGTGTACATGCTAAAGCATACGTCAATGATAAAAATAGCCAGTGTTAGCATGCAAATGACACGTAATTGTAACCACGGGCCAGTCGAGTTCTTACATAAGCACAATACATACTCGATGGTGGAAACACACACTGTTGGTTTGGCATTAACATCTGCGTTGTGCTCTAAGTTTATCATTGAGTAACAGCACTGAGCTGCTTGCTCCACTGCCCCCGTTTATCAGTTTCGCTCGCCTTGTCACATGAGGTCACAAATTTCCCATTTTACATTAACTCAGGCCGGGGCGAATATATTTCGAATAATCTCTCACGACAGTTTCTTTTTTAGTTTGACATCTATTAATGGTTTGTTTATTTTATTTAATCTTACATGCCAACAACAGATTAATTTAACATATTTCAAGGGACTAGTTTATTTAAAAACAACAACAATAAAACTCACCTCCCAAGGATACGAGACTCTCCCGTTTCAGCACACAGCCTTGAGCTGAGTGCCTCGAAAATCGAGTTTTCCAACAACTTCATCGCCTTCTATGAGGACACACACACACAAAAAAAATGTTTACATTGTATAAAACCTAAAGAATAACATTAAAAAAAATCGACGTTTTGTAAAGCGAGATGCACAGATTAATTTAAACGAATAGTGTGCAAGAACAGCACAAATCAGCATTAAACTCGAAAAAGTGGGCGTTTGCCAGCTTATTTACTGAGAGCAAAACAAGGACGACGAAGAGTGAGCGCATCGCCATCTTGAGGACGTATTGGACAACGACCGCCATTTTCTAGCGGCCCCTCCCCCACAATATTTTCGATCGTCTTCCTGCTTCAATTTATCGTTCCTATTTCCACTTCGAAATCACTTACCGAATCGATATTCCTCGACGATAAAGCCGATTAGCCGTTCCACACAAGTCGCTGATCTCACTCTTGAGTCTTCTTAGCTCTTGTTTTTTTGTGGTGTTTGTCGCTCAGGTCACCTCCAAGCTAATGTACGCAGCTAGACCAGCTTGCTATTATTATTATTGTGATTTTTTTTTCCACCGTCCTCTTACTTCCCTATTTAGAGTGGAGCAATTAGTGCGCGTTCAAACATCTTTTACAAGCACTCGGTCGAGAATGCGCCACTTCGAGACTCGTTCGGTTTATAGAAAAGCTACTCTTTCCGATTAAATGCGACGAGATTACATCCAGTGACTGTTTGCGCACATCGGGGTCCGTCTGCAGCAGCATCACTTTCGACCTAATTGCACGAAAAAAAACAAAGGCTTTCTTTTCGTGGTGGATCAAGTCGCTGTTGTCAAAGCGACCGATCAGTAGGACGGTAAAAGAGAAGCGACGTAAACGCCTTTAGGATCCAGCCAAATATTTGAGAAAACGTCGACAAAAATCCACTGCTTCCTCCTGTTTACGAACAACAACGACGACTGTCTGATGGAGACAAGCCCCCTTTTTTAATTATATAAATCCGACTGACGTCACATCTGTGTTGCGATTGGCTGTGTTATGTGTCGATCATACAATGGTGCAGGCAATTGGTCATAATCATCTTTGTATACGCCTCGTGATTGGCCGGGGTGTATGTCAATCATATGCGGTGTTGGGTTAACTTTTTTTTTTCAGTCATGCCCACAGTATTGATTTCGAGATAAGGAAATAGCATCACGATGAAGATTACAGTGATCACGAAGCCAAATTATTTCATTATTAACAAGTGAAGCGACGCAAATTCCGCCATTTGTTGTACTAATAAAGTTATCTTATCAAATGTAATCGAAAATGTATCCGAATATAGAAACATTGATATTAAACATACCTTTTTAAAATGGAAATTGTATGTATGTATGTATATATAAATAATATTTTTTTTTTTTTCAAAAAAAAAATTTAAAGCCCAAAAGACCCCCCACAAAACATGAAAACCCAGTCACTACTATCCAAACATCTCAGTTAGGTGAATAGGGGTCAATATATTTTCTTAAAATGTCAAAACTGTCATGAAGTATGACAATCCAGCCAAATATTTTAGGAAACGAATTTCCCCAGTGTGGGACGAATAAAGATTATCTTATCTTATCTTAATATTTGCTCGTGAAACAATACAAATTCCCCCGTAATGCATCAGAATGCAGATCACTATACCCTGATAACATATTTCCCAACCCTACTCCCGAGGATCCCATTAGCAACACAGGTGCACACATTCATATTCAAACGTACATTTTATTGTGTCCTGAACAGTCATCTGAGAGTAATATAGTTTGAAACATCCTCCACACCCGTGCTGTCGTTGTCCAGGTACTCAAGGATCACATTACCTCCGTTGTGCAAGGGGTCTTCCGGGCTGGTCAGAAGTGTGTGCAGGCTGTCGTCCATACGCAAAGACTTCCCTGTCTCGGGATGGCAGAGGCGCAACTTCTAGGGAGGAAAAAAAAAAAAAAAAGTAGTTTGAGATACTAAAAAGCAAGTCTAAGTATCAGATTACTAGTAGGGAGCATGAGAGGACAATCAGGCGTCCTGTGAATATGCTTCATGCTTGCAACAGTCTTACGTTGGTGACAGGAAGTATGAAAACATGATGTTCTGTCTGAGAAAATATCATATTGTTGACAAACTTTAACTGACTGTTACTCAGTCCCATGGCTGAATAAAACCTCTCTTTATTCAGGTCAAGAAAGCAAGTGCTGAGTTAGCTGACCTTGGCTGCAAGCACATTGTTGTTGTTCTTGAGGGAAGCGAGTGAGGCCGCGGAATCCACCACCTTGCCCACGCTCCATTTGGAGCAAAAGAACATGGGCTGACTGGTTGCCGGACACCCTTTTGGAAGATACACTTGAAAATAGGTTCTTTCTGCCTAAAAGAAGGTGTGGAGCAGAACATGAGCAATAAACAAGGCGACAGCGATGGTGAAATAAGGCCTCAAAAGTACCTGAGGTAAACCTTTGTCTCCTGCAGCATGAAGCTTCAGTTTCATCAGCGCTACCTTGGCTGCCGTGGCGCTGTTCTTCGCCCCTTTACGCCCTTTGATTTTGGAACCCTCCTTTGACTCTGTATTGACAAGAGTGGAAATGTATTAGATTGTCATCGAATTCCAAGTTCACTGAATGTGTCCGAAAATAATTTACTTACTGCAAATCGAATCGTAAGCCTCTTAGCCTAATTGCCTGAGTCATGTTTAACTTACTGTCACCATAGCAATACAAATTACTGAGGTGCTTGCTAATTTTTTTTTTTTAATTAAATCTCGACTAAATCCAGGTCATGATAATCAGGAACGGTAGACTCATGGCAATTGAACTTTTGTTTGTTGAATTTGTTGACGCTCCCCTTCCAACACACACACACACCCTTTGTTAACCAACAGTGAGACCATTATTTCCAGTATATGTACAGTACACTTGTGACATGTTTTTCCGAATAGACTCTTTCGCAAAACCTGTCTTATGCAACACACAATTTGTACAATATTGACCCTATGTGGGCAAAAGGTGAACAGCAGGGGAATGCCACCCATTGGTGACTTATCCCAATTACAACTGACCCACAATCCTTTGCACCAGCTCCTTGGTGGCTTCCATGCGTGGCTTTTGGACCTCCAGCTTCTCACACTTGTGATCATCTTGATGACGGTGGCTGCGTGCAGCGGGGGGAAAAAGCCACATAGAATAATCTTAAAAACTAAATTGAAAATGGGAGTGAAATTTGGGTTAAAAGTGTGAACCTACACCAAACAGAAGCACTTCTCACACTGCGGACAGATGACAGGCAGCAGTTCTTTCCCCTTGCAGCCTTCGAAGGAGCATAGATGACTTGTGCTGCCGCCCATAGGTTGGGGGTTCCTCCTCACAGGCTCCTGAGATGTAATTTCAAGAATTGTCTTTACCCAAAAAAAGGCATGACAAGTATGTACGTGACAAGAAAGCTGGTCTTTTCTTCTTCACTGGCAAACCGATCAAGCGCTGTTTACCTGTGAGCATGAATGAGCCTCTCTGCTTCTGTGTTCGAGGCTGCAAAAAAACAAACAAAAATGGGTTGCATCATACACAATATGCCCTCAAAATAATTTTTTCCTCCTTCATGAAGTTCTCATGTTGAATCAGATTTTGCCTCTTTGTGCATAGGAAACCCAAACCCTGCCCTTATGCAAATAAAATGGGGTGGAAAATATTTACTTCTTACTGGTCATTAGAAAAATGGTACCTTTAGTCTAAAAAATGGGACTTAACCATGTAAGTATATGAAAAACAACCAATAAATACAATGCAAATCATCTTAACAAGTAATCTCGAATGACGAAAAAAAAAGAAAGCGAAAGTGGTGCCTCTTACCAGTAGACTCCATTGCAGGAATCACAAACAAATGGAAGGAAATCTAAATGAATGAAGGCAACAGTCTTAGTTCTCTTAGTTAGGCTCATGATTTGAAAACCGTTTAACATGTAACACGTTTTGAGATCGATTTATGTGTCTGATATTGCTTTAGCTGTGATTGGAAAGATGAGTGCAAAATCACGCGAACACGAACGAGCTAAAATGCTAATTTGACATGTATTTTGACTCAAACACGGCCAGTGTTTCATGTCACACAGTAATTCTTTTTAGAGCAATAGAACTAAGACGACAGAGACCTTGTTGGTGACAAGAATCTATTTGACAGTGCTTTCCGATGTCTAACTCAGCCATTAGCTTAGCTGTGAGCTTCTCCAACACGACAGACAACAGGAAGTGACCCCGGCAGTGAAAGTCGACTAACAACCCGAAAGTGAAATTCTATTGCGAGTTTGTTAAATCAAAATATAATTGCTTTAGAGGTGCTTTTAACGGATGATTACATATCGCAGCTTTGATACAATTTCAGGAGTATATTTGAATAAATAATCTTTATCTGTGTTTTTGTTTAGTATTACCCCGGAAGTGAAATTCAGTATCGGCGCTTTTACGTAGGGGCGTAATAATAATTTATTTTCGAGGTGGAATGTTTATCATCAAACCTTTATTAACCTTTAAACCACATGATAGCAAAAATTATTTTAAAATAAATAGTATATTCGCGCGAATATTTCGTTTGGAGCAACTGAAGTGGGCTGGGTCATGTCACGATGACGTCACACAGGTACCTGAACCCCGGAAAGGTGTGCTGAAAAGTGAATTGTCAACCACAAAAGCCAGTCGAGCTGGAAAAACAGCTCGGCGTCCACTCACACGCCCTGGAAACACCTGACAATCATAACAACAGCTCGGCGTCCGCATACCGCCACCGAGCGCTGCTTCAGATTTACCGTCGGAGGAACTCCCGGCCAAAATGAGTAAAATCACGAAATTCTTCAAGGGGAGTTCGAGCTCCGGCTCGTCGTCCGGGAGTAAGTCCAAACACCACCACCGGTCCAAGGGGGGACCCTCTTCCCAGGAGGCCATCCACAAGCTCCGGGAGACTGAAGACAATGCAAATAAAATGGGGTGGAAAATATTTACTTCTTACTGGTCATTAGAAAAATGGTACCTTTAGTCTAAAAAATGGGACTTAACCATGTAAGTATATGAAAAACAACCAATAAATACAATGCAAATCATCTTAACAAGTAATCTCGAATGACGAAAAAAAAAGAAAGCGAAAGTGGTGCCTCTTACCAGTAGACTCCATTGCAGGAATCACAAACAAATGGAAGGAAATCTAAATGAATGAAGGCAACAGTCTTAGTTCTCTTAGTTAGGCTCATGATTTGAAAACCGTTTAACATGTAACACGTTTTGAGATCGATTTATGTGTCTGATATTGCTTTAGCTGTGATTGGAAAGATGAGTGCAAAATCACGCGAACACGAACGAGCTAAAATGCTAATTTGACATGTATTTTGACTCAAACACGGCCAGTGTTTCATGTCACACAGTAATTCTTTTTAGAGCAATAGAACTAAGACGACAGAGACCTTGTTGGTGACAAGAATCTATTTGACAGTGCTTTCCGATGTCTAACTCAGCCATTAGCTTAGCTGTGAGCTTCTCCAACACGACAGACAACAGGAAGTGACCCCGGCAGTGAAAGTCGACTAACAACCCGAAAGTGAAATTCTATTGCGAGTTTGTTAAATCAAAATATAATTGCTTTAGAGGTGCTTTTAACGGATGATTACATATCGCAGCTTTGATACAATTTCAGGAGTATATTTGAATAAATAATCTTTATCTGTGTTTTTGTTTAGTATTACCCCGGAAGTGAAATTCAGTATCGGCGCTTTTACGTAGGGGCGTAATAATAATTTATTTTCGAGGTGGAATGTTTATCATCAAACCTTTATTAACCTTTAAACCACATGATAGCAAAAATTATTTTAAAATAAATAGTATATTCGCGCGAATATTTCGTTTGGAGCAACTGAAGTGGGCTGGGTCATGTCACGATGACGTCACACAGGTACCTGAACCCCGGAAAGGTGTGCTGAAAAGTGAATTGTCAACCACAAAAGCCAGTCGAGCTGGAAAAACAGCTCGGCGTCCACTCACACGCCCTGGAAACACCTGACAATCATAACAACAGCTCGGCGTCCGCATACCGCCACCGAGCGCTGCTTCAGATTTACCGTCGGAGGAACTCCCGGCCAAAATGAGTAAAATCACGAAATTCTTCAAGGGGAGTTCGAGCTCCGGCTCGTCGTCCGGGAGTAAGTCCAAACACCACCACCGGTCCAAGGGGGGACCCTCTCCCCAGGAGGCCATCCACAAGCTCCGGGAGACTGAAGACATGTTGAGCAAGAAGCAGGACTACCTGGAAAAAAGAATCGAGCAGGAAATCATGATAGCCAAGAAGCATGGCACAAGAAATAAGAGGGGTATGTATGTTTGTATGCTCATCACTAACACAGAGGGATCACATCGTGTTTTCGGCAGCGCTTTAAAAGGCCCACATCTGATCAAATGGTTATGAGAGCCGCCATTTTAGGATGAGTCACAGGTGTGTCTTCCTGGAAAATAGAAGCCGTTTCACTTAGGGGATAATTTCCCGGTTTTCATTCAATTTAGGTTAAAAACGAATTCTACGTTAAAATGTCATTTAAACCAACAAATCAATTACATGATACATGATTCGATTTTACATGAAATAGTGAAAAAAGTGTTTGAATAAAATCCACAAAAACATTGAAAAAAGTAACACACAGTAAACTCACACACAGTAAATGTAAATGGTGCCACAAAAAAAAAAACGCATACATTCAAATAAGTGTGCCAGATTGGTGAAGAAATATGATTGTTCTATAGTTTTAATGTAGACATGATTCGATTTTACATGAAATAGTGAAAAAAGTAACACACAGTAAACTCACACACAGTAAATGTAAATGGTGCCACAAAAAAAAAAACGCATACATTCAAATAAGTGTGCCAGATTGGTGAAGAAATATGATTGTTCTATAGTTTTAATGTAGTAATCCACCCATCCATTTTCTGAACAATTCAACTCTTTATTTCACATGTAAATCATCTGTTTGTTCAATTATCCTCGTACAATATTTATTAGTTTGGCACACACAAAAAAACTCCTCTCTGTCAGTTCTCAAATAGCTGTAGAGAAAAATTAAAAGTTTAATTCACTGATTGTAAAGCTGTTAGCAGCAGCAAGAATAAAATGTTGGCGACGGCATCAACATGTTTCAACCCTTCAAAGTTGAAGGTTTCAGTGTGTATTTTACTCGTATGAAAACTTCTCTCACTGCCTGTTGGATCGCGGCACGGCAGATTAAAAATAGCATCACCATGACCTCATGGAATTAATCATATCATATTCGTCTGTTGTGAGGCTAATGTCCGCAAACAACCTCTTAGCTGCCCTGCAGGCCTTGAAGAGAAAGAAACGCCTGGAGCAGCAGCTGACACAGATCGACGGCACGCTTTCCACCATCGAGTTCCAGCGGGAAGCTCTGGAGAACTCGCACACCAACACAGAGGTGGTGAGAAACATGGGCTACGCCGCCCAGGCCATGAAGAAGGTCCACGACAGCATGTGAGGAATACACCAACATGTTCACTGTCAAACTGACACGAAAAGAAAATTAAACAATGCATATTTAAAGACCAAAATGTTCAACCAAACCACCTGATTTTGTCGAATGAAATTCCCCTGGCTCGATGTTCAGAAATGATGGTAATGTGTAACTAGAAGCACAAATTTTCAGGGAAACTCAGTCAATTTAGAAAAACCAAAAACATGTTTGTCTTTTCTCAGGGATCTAAACAAGATAGACGATCTGATGGAAGACATCAACGAGCAGCAAGATGTGGCCCGGGAAATCAACGAAGCCATCTCCAGACCCTACGGCGAAACTTACGACGAGGTATACCTTTTGCCGTGGTTCTTCACACTGCGGTTATTATTTTTTAAGATATTTCTAAACCAATGAGAACATTTTGTTATAAGGATGAGCTGCTGGCCGAGCTAGAGGAACTGGAGCAGGAGGACATGGAGGATAACCTGAGGAGCATGGGAGGACTGCCCTCAGTGCCCAGTGCAAGACTGCCCTCGGCTCCATCAGGACGCGTAGCTCACCGCGCAAGTATGTACAAGATATATTTTCGAGTAACATACACTGTATTTGTAAAAGTGTGTCCTACAACATTCTTCACCTTCATGAAAAAAATAGTCACTTTTAAAATATACAACTTTTTCTTTGTTCTCCAAAATAAATTAAATTATTTTGGATATGACCTTCTGCCCCTTCAGTTGTATACAATTAGTTTTCAGAACATTCCCTTGACATTATATTGCACCCCAAAGGACCATATTCTTTTAAAAATACTTCGTTTTTTTCTTGGAATAAAAGGGGATTTTTCTAGAATGTTTTTCTTTTATATTTTCAGCAGGTAAAATATGACCTTATTTTTGTACATGACTATTATTCTTTAAAAAAAAACTATGCTCACAATTACTATGACAGTTTGACTAAAGTGACTTTTTTCCCTTGAAAATGTAATTAGTTTGGTCTGACTGAATTTATTTGATGAACAAATTATTTTCTTTGAAAACAATACGAACTGAAACTTCCCCTTCTTTGTTCCTGAATTAAATTGTACAATCATTCATATGGTGGTAATAATTCTAAATGTCATTTCCCCTGTTTGTTTTTTTCAGCGGCCAGAAGAAGGGGCGAGGATGAGGAAGACATGCGCATGCTGGCATCGTGGGGATCATAAGCCTTTTTTTTTCGAGAGGGGAGCGAAAAACCGACAGATTTCCATTTTTAATTTCTCAGGGGGTTTGAAGCAATTGCCACCATCTTGGGACATGTTCCTCATGTATTCATTGAGCAGCCAGCCGCCATGTTACACTGAAGGAAATTGTTTACTGTGCTTCCTGTCACTTTTTTTTCCTGTTTCATTTTAAAATTTGATATGAATCGTGGCCGAGTCACTAACTCTGAAGGATTTCCAGCACTGAGCAAAAACCTACACTCTACTTGTAACACAGCTGTAGATAAATTGTTTGCTCCATTGTAAATATTTTTGCTTTTATGTTAAACTATAATAAAAAAACCCACACCTTCCTATAAGACTTGATTTTCCTCCTTTTATCCATATCATGTGAAAATTGATTTCCAATTGTTTCTACAACTCATATAATGAGTCCTCTTCATAAAGGTGGCTGAATTAATAGTGATGTCACCGAGGAAGAAGCTCAATCTCTGACAATTACATATTGATTCTTTTTCTTGAAAAATAAACACTCGTGAAATGTACTAACATTTTTTCGAATTTATATACATCATTCCGGCGTTTCTGTCAGTGACGTCGTCAAACTCGTAAACCTACCCTATTTTTTAATAAAATTAAAAAAATATGACCTTTTTAGAAGGTAATAAAGGAAATAAATACAATTTTGTTCTCAAAAGATTTACATTTTTCTTGGAAAAAAAAACACCATTTGGGGAGACCAAAATGTTCAACCAAACCACCTGATTTTGTCGAATGAAATTCCCCTGGCTCGATGTTCAGAAATGATGGTAATGTGTACCTTATTGGGGAGTGCCTGTGTAACTAAAAACACAAATGATCAGGGTAACTCAGCCAATTTCGAAAAACCAAAAACATGTTTGTCTTTTCTCAGGGATCTAAACAAGATAGACGATCTGATGGAAGACATCAACGAGCAGCAAGATGTGGCCCGGGAAATCAACGAAGCCATCTCCAGACCCTACGGCGAAACTTACGACGAGGTATACCTTTTGCCGTGGTTCTTCACAATGTGGTTATTATTTTTTAATATATTTCTAAACAAATGAGAACATTTTGTTGTAAGGATGAGCTGCTGGCCGAGCTAGAGGAGCTGGAGCAGGAGGACATGGAGGATAACCTGAGGAGCATGGGAGGACTGCCCTCAGTGCCCAGTGCAAGACTGCCCTCGGCTCCATCAGGACGCGTAGCTCACCGCGCAAGTATGTACAAGATATATTTTCGAGTAACATACACTGTATTTGTAAAAGTGTGTCCTACAACATTCTTCACCTTCATGAAAAAAATAGTCACTCTTAAAATATACAACTTTTTCTTTATTCTCCAAAATAAATTTATTTTGGATATGACCTTCTGCCCCTTCAGTTGTATACAATTAGTTTTCAGAACATTCCCTTGACATTATATTGCACCCAAAAGGACCATATTCTTTAAAAAATACTTATACTAATACTTTTTTTCTTGGAATAAAAGGGGATTTTTCTGGAATGTTTTTCTTTTGATATTTTCAGCAGGTAAAATATGACCTTATTTTTGTACATGACTATTATTCTTTAAAAAAAAAAACTATGCTCACAATTACTATGACAGTTTGACTAAAGTGACTTTTTTCCCTTGAAAATGTAATTAGTTTGGTCTGACTGAATTTATTTGATGAACAAATTATTTTCTTTGAAAACAATACGAACTGAAACTTCCCCTTCTTTGTTCCTGAATTAAATTGTACAATCATTCATATGGTGGTAATAATTCTAAATGTCATTTCCCCTGTTTGTTTTTTTCAGCGGCCAGAAGAAGGGGCGAGGATGAGGAAGACATGCGCATGCTGGCATCGTGGGGATCATAAGCCTTTTTTTTTCGAGAGGGGAGCGAAAAACCGACAGATTTCCATTTTTAATTTCTCAGGGGGTTTGAAGCAATTGCCACCATCTTGGGACATGTTCCTCATGTATTCATTGAGCAGCCAGCCGCCATGTTACACTGAAGGAAATTGTTTACTGTGCTTCCTGTCACTTTTTTTTCCTGTTTCATTTTAAAATTTGATATGAATTGTGGCCGAGTCACTAACTCTGAAGGATTTCCAGCACTGAGCAAAAACCTACACTCTACTTGTAACACAGCTGTAGATAAACTGTTTGCTCCATTGTAAATATTTTTGCTTTTATGTTAAACTATAATAAAAAAAGAAAAACACACCTTCCTATAAGACTTGATTTTCCTCCTTTTATCCATATCATGTGAAAATTGATTTCCAATTGTTTCTACAACTCATATAATGAGTCCTCTTCATAAAGGTGGCTGAATTAATAGTGATGTCACCAAGGAAGAAGCTCAATCTCTGACAATTACATATTGATTCTTTTTCTTGAAAAATAAACACTCGTGAAATGTACTAACATTTTTTCGAATTTATATACATCATTCCGGCGTTTCTGTCAGTGACGTCGTCAAACTCCTCGTAAACCTACCCTATTTTTTAAAGACATTTATTCTCGTAATATGACATTTTTAGAACACAATTTCCAAAATAAATACAATTTTGTTCTCAAAAGATTTAATTTTTTTCTTGAAAAAAACACAATTTGGGCAGTAGCGTCACCAAAGCAGGAAGCTCTTTCGTAGAGGTTAATATTTTTTTAATGGAAGGATTATTTTTTTTCAAGAAAAAAACGTAACATTTTATTTTCGGATGTTTGATTTTTTTCCCTTCTTTTCTCGTCTAGTCCAGAAGTGTGCGTTTTTGACAGCGACGTCACCAAAAAGGAAGCAGCAGAAGCGCTTCCGCAGTTTTGCCGACGCAACCGAACTACTAACGCTAACTTTATCGAAAAGTTATCGAGCCTGAAATTGAAACAATATGGAAGCTAACAGTAACACACCAACTTCGGGTGAGTTGGCGACTTTGAGCCATCCTGTTTTTCCCCCTTTTGAACCTCACCGGCTTGAAACGTTTAATTTACAACGCGAACATTATTAGCCCTCCAGCTAAATGCCATTCAAGTGGACACTGACACGTCTCGACCCTTCTTTAACATTTCGTAACTTAATTTAACCAATCTTAGCTTGCATTTGTTAGTTACGAGCATTATTTTGGTCATTAAGTGGAGTGAAGCTCCCACCAACACTAGTAGTTGCTGTCATTTCCGTATGTCATTCCATGACCGCTAAAAACACACAACAAAGGCACCTCGAACATATATTCGGGTACGATAAAGGACCATTCGTTTCGTTTAACGTCTTAATATATATATATATATTTTTTTTTTACAACGTGCGAAATTCATATACATTTAATTCATTTAATAGCATGGTGGTAAAATATATATATATATATTTTTTTTCTTTTTACAACGTGTGAAATTCATATACAGTTCATTTAATAGCATGGTGGTAGGTTTTCAGAACATTCCCTTGACATTATATTGCACCCAAAAGGACCATATTCTTTAAAAAATACTTATACTAATACTTTTTTTCTTGGAATAAAAGGGGATTTTTCTGGAATGTTTTTCTTTTGATATTTTCAGCAGGTAAAATATGACCTTATTTTTGTACATGACTATTATTCTTTAAAAAAAAAACTATGCTCACAATTACTATGACAGTTTGACTAAAGTGACTTTTTTCCCTTGAAAATGTAATTAGTTTGGTCTGACTGAATTTTTTTCATGAACAAATTATTTTCTTTGAAAACAATACGAACTGAAACTTCCCCTTCTTTGTTCCTGAATTAAATTGTACAATCATTCATATGGTGGTAATAATTCTAAATGTCATTTCCCCTGTTTGTTTTTTTCAGCGGCCAGAAGAAGGGGCGAGGATGAGGAAGACATGCGCATGCTGGCATCGTGGGGATCATAAGCCTTTTTTTTTCGAGAGGGGAGCGAAAAACCGACAGATTTCCATTTTTAATTTCTCAGGGGGTTTGAAGCAATTGCCACCATCTTGGGACATGTTCCTCATGTATTCATTGAGCAGCCAGCCGCCATGTTACACTGAAGGAAATTGTTTACTGTGCTTCCTGTCACTTTTTTTTCCTGTTTCATTTTAAAATTTGATATGAATCGTGGCCGAGTCACTAACTCTGAAGGATTTCCAGCACTGAGCAAAAACCTACACTCTACTTGTAACACAGCTGTAGATAAACTGTTTGCTCCATTGTAAATATTTTTGCTTTTATGTTAAACTATAATAAAAAAACCCACACCTTCCTATAAGACTTGATTTTCCTCCTTTTATCCATATCATGTGAAAATTGATTTCCAATTGTTTCTACAACTCATATAATGAGTCCTCTTCATAAAGGTGGCTGAATTAATAGTGATGTCACCAAGGAAGAAGCTCAATCTCTGACAATTACATATTGATTCTTTTTCTTGAAAAATAAACACTCGTGACATGTACTAACATTTTTTCGAATTTATATACATCATTCCGGCGTTTCTGTCAGTGACGTCGTCAAACTCGTAAACCTACCCTATTTTTTAATAAAATTAAAAAAATATGACCTTTTTAGAAGGTAATAAAGGAAATAAATACAATTTTGTTCTCAAAAGATTTACATTTTTCTTGGAAAAAAAAACACCATTTGGGGAGTAGCGTCACCAAAGCAGGAAGCTCTTTCGTAGAGGTTAATATTGTTTTAATGGAAGGATTATTTTTTTTCAAGAAAAAAACGTAACATTTTATTTTCGGATGTTTGATTTTTTTCCCTTCTTTTCTCGTCTAGTCCAGAAGTGTGCGTTTTTGACAGCGACGTCACCAAAAAGGAAGCAGCAGAAGCGCTTCCGCAGTTTTGCCGACGCAACCGAACTACTAACGCTAACTTTATCGAAAAGTTATCGAGCCTGAAATTGAAACAATATGGAAGCTAACAGTAACACACCAACTTCGGGTGAGTTGGCGACTTTGAGCCATCCTGTTTTTCCCCCTTTTGAACCTCACCGGCTTGAAACGTTTAATTTACAACGCGAACATTATTAGCCCTCCAGCTAAATGCCATTCAAGTGGACACTGACACGTCTCGAAGCTTCTTTAACATTTCGTAACTTAATTTAACCAATCTTAGCTTGCATTTGTTAGTTACGAGCATTATTTTGGTCGTTAAGTGGAGTGAAGCTCCCACCAACACTAGTAGTTGCTGTCATTTCCGTATGTCATTCCATGACCGCTAAAAACACACAACAAAGGCATCTCGAACATATATTCGGGTACGATAAAGGACCATTCGTTTCGTTTAACGTCTTAATATATATATATATATTTTTTTTTTACAACGTGCGAAATTCATATACATTTAATTCATTTAATAGCATGGTGGTAAGCGGAAATGCCAACTTTTTACGTCACATAACGTCATTTGGAAAACGAAATAGTTCGAATTTGTTTTAGAATTGTAAATAGTCCCCATTTTGAGTTTAAATTAGATTTGACGACCATTATGTTTGTACGTTAACATCGTGCCTACACCTAAACTTTCATAAAATCAGTGTTGCCATCGTAAATTAGGATTCTCAATTTTGACAAGTCATAATATTACGAAAATAACACGCAATAGTACAAAATTGGTTAACGTTCAAAATGTAATTGCGGAAAAGTTGATGACTGGAGTTTTAACAATGGAACGTCTTCATTCTTAATTTATTTTCGCAAACAAAAATGCTTCCCTCATTCACCGATTTTCACGTTTAACTGGCCCGGCCCCACCTTAGACAGCCACATACCCTCAACGTCACAGATAGTGTGTGGAATGTGAGGACTGCGACTCCAAGTGGACAAAAGCAGTACTTGTACCTCACATGCAAATCAATAAATGTGGCCTGATTGAATGCCCGGTAGCATGTTTTCCAATTTTGTGTAAAGCGAGTGTTTTTACTTTATTTCAGCAGCGTCGACATCTTGTGAGAGTAATGGCCCCAAGTCGAGTCTGTCACCGCTGCGTCTGGTGGTCCTCGGTTGGCGCTGGCCCGGCAAGAGCTTGACGGCCAACACCATCCTGGGCCGTGAGGAGTTCCGCCTGGAGCGCGCTGCCGAGTTTTGCGTGACTCGGCACACGGAGGTGGCAGGGCGCCCGGTGACCGTGGTAGACACGCCAGGCTGGTATTCATCACAGGACACGCCGCTGTCCTACAAGAAAGAGATCGCCCGCGGCGCCACCCTGTGTCCTCCGGGCCCGCACGCCTTCCTGCTCGTCATCCCCGTGGGCATGTTCACCGAGGTGGACCGCGCCAGAATCGAGGAGCACGTGGGCCTGTTCGGGGAGCGGGTGTGGCGGCACGTGCTGGTGGTGTTCACGTGGGCCGAGGTGCTGCGGACCATTTCGCTGGAGCGCTACATCCGGCGCGAGGGCGCCGACCTGCAGCGTGTGCTGGAAAAGTGTCGGCGCCGCTACATGCTCATCAACAACTGCGTGTTCGAGGAGCAGACGCAGGTGGGACGCTTGATGGAGCGTGTGGACCAGATTGTCGCTGAGGAAGGAGGCCACTACTTGCCCGAGGAGCCCCCGGCGCTGGATCAGAACCGGAACCCGACCGGAGATGCCACGGGGCAGCCTGGTGCTGGGGCCAAAGCTGACGACATGGTGACTTTAGGCAAAAAGGTCAGCAGCCTTTCGACGCAGTGATGTGCCCGCCTCACTTTAGGTACACCCGCATCATTGTCCAGGCCCCAGCTGCCCCCCCCCCACCCCCCACTGAGATTATTTGAGGCACCCAAGTGTTTCTTACATTTGGGACCTCACAGGTAGCCACCATATCCTGTAAAGAGTAGTTATGATACATTTATATAACTTAAATTTTGTGTACTCAAAAGTAGGATTTTATACAATACTTTTTTGTTCATCAGGAAAAATAAAGTTTAAGATTTGCCATTTTTCCCCCCCTTCAGAAAGGATACTCTTATTTTGAAAACGATGAAATAGGATTATTTATTCTTCTAGTAGTACAATTTTTTTTCTAGAGATAAAAAGTTTTTTTTTTTTGAAAACCACAATATTTGGAAGATTTCAATCAATATTCTCTCTATTATTTAATAATATTGTCTGGGGGGGAAAACATGGACCAAAACCAGCTCTTTCTGGGGTCAAAATTTTCAAAGGAGTGATGACAACTTCCCCCAGATGGTGGCGCAACGACCCAGGTTTTGTCATGGGAATATGTGAGATCGAGCAGGTGTACCTAATGAAGTGTGACAAATAGTCAGTGGGGGCCTTCAAAGGCTTTGGCCCCCACAAAATAAGCCCTCCGAAGGCGTGTACCATCAAAACGTTGGAAGATTGAGTTCACTTTTGCACTGAATGTGTTGCTGCTGATGTTCTTGAGAACTGATTCGAGAATGTTGCATAGGCTGACAGCTGGAGGTCAACTCTGACGTGAAACGTCACTTTATTGACGTAACACTCATTTACTGCAGGGCTTTTGAAAAACAATCTATCCATATTATTTGCCTCCGCCACCACCCGTAAGATGACCATTTTTTTGCAAATAATTTACAGTGGTAATACAGTAGACCTCTGCAAAGGTTTTTAGGTGGCACTTGTTAATTATCCGGAAATATTCACAATTCATGGTAGATCTTGGTCCCTATCGCCGCGCTATTGCTATTTTTATTGGAGAGTTCTTTTCCCTAATGGAAAAAATACAACTCCCCTTTAAAATGACTACTTTTTTGGGGGGTTATAAAAGGCAACTTTTTAGAGTCAGACTTTTCTCATGGAAGATGACAAATTTTCTGAAATAAGTCACCCCTCCCAACATTTTTTTTGGTATATTTGGCACATTATGTCCCTGCCAGGAAATGAAAAAATGAAATTGGCTTTTGAAAAATATGCTTAAACTGTTTCAGATGGCGAAAATAACATTTTCCCCACACAAACATTCAAATGGTTTGTAACAGACTGACGAGTGCGAGGCCTCCACAGTAGCCAAGTCGTGACTCCATTCTGCCCCGAGACACAATTCGTCGTCAGAAGACTTGACAATCGGTGAATTGATGTGCAAGCCTATCTACTGTATTTTAATTCTCTGCTGTTTCGTTTTGTACAATGAGCAGAGTGGAAATGTCCATTTTAGTGACCAAATTGTTATTTTTCTGCACTTATATAAAGCACTCTGAACCCCGAACAATGTCTCGTTGTCTCATTTAATCGAGTCAAGTACATTTCAGTTGTATTTAACTTTTAAGTTACATTTTAAAATTGTTTTCAAACATTTATTCAGGTAGATTTTTTTTTTGCTTCATGTTTGGGTGCAATATGTTATACAGAATAGAATGTCAAAATGTTCTTTTACAATGTTTCCTGCACAGTTAAGGCTTTTACGGCGGCCCGGCTAACATTTTCTTTAGAACTTGAAGTCATCCATCTCAATAGCACGCACTATTGTGTGAACGGTTTCTGCTGGAGACGGCTGCACGAAATCCGCCCAAACCAGGCCGTGTGTCAACAGAAACCGGATGCCTCAATAGAAACCAATAAAAGAAGAAAACAAAGCCCATCCACACAGCTGTGTCTGCTGTCATATCGGTATTACAATGTTTGCTGACAAGATTTTTCTTTAGTTTTTTTAAAATACCTTATCAGGTGACATTCCTCACAATCTTAATTCATCAGCCGTGAGACAGACACATTTTCGTGTATGCTCAAAAGCGTTGGGCTTGCCTGTCGCCCCATCCCGGACATACGCCATCATACTGTTTTTCTTGATTGCGTGTGTTTTGGCCCCCCCAAAAATGTCCGCACCTGTAGCAGTCAATATTACTACTCTGTTCTCCTTATCAAATATCAGATAAGTCCCAGAAGATCGTAAAATCAAAATGTAACTACTTAGCGGCAAGTGCAAAACACGAAGATAGTGGTCTCCTGTCGTACACAATACTCTTTTTTTTCTTCTGTCATCACAAACGTAATTGCCCGAAAGCACTCGGCGAACGTCATGCGAGTCAACAGTTTGGTTGATACTGACCCCCCCCCTCCCCCAAACCGTACAACAACACGAAGGTACTACTACTATATTTCTGTGGCATATCCGCCCGCTAATTGCATCATGGTGACAGAAGCCAAGTCAAACATCCATAAAGAGTGACTCATGCATCAACGGTCCGTGGCGAGACCTTGGGAATGCACACGCGTCAACATAGCGAAAGGCAGGCAAGAAACGGAGAGGGACATGCGTGGGCAGACGGGGGGTCGGGGGGGACACAAAAGTGACGATTCATGTCATGCCGCCTGAGAGTTGCTCATTAGGCGGAACAATGACGGTGGGGCTGGCTCGGGGAGGACTTGGCCCAGTCGCGGCAATTAGGACGCCTCGTTTGAGGTCACCTGCGGTTTTGGGTGGACGCAAGGCTAAACCGCATTGACGGTGCAGAAATAGGATTGCTCATGTTGCATATCGGGCGGCAGGTTGAGCGACTGGTTAGCAAGTCCCCCTCACAGTGCAGAGGTGCAGGGTTCGATTCCGGCTCCGGCCTTCCAGTGTGGAGTTTGCATGTTCTCCCCGTGTCTGCGTGGGTTTTCTCCGGGTATTCCGGTTTCCTTCCACATTCCCAAAAACATGCATGGAACATGTGTGCCCTGCCATTGGCTGGCAACCAGTTCAGGGTAACCCCGCCTACTGCCCGAAGACAGCTGGGATTAGGCTTCGGCACACCCTCGACCCCTCGCGAGGATAAGCAGATTAGAAAATGTTGCATATCTTGTAATTCTGCATTGAGGTCGACAAATTACCCGAATAAAATCCAACTTTTAACCTTTACCTGGTGCCGGTTTCTGGCATCCAGAACTCAAACTCCAACTTTACAGGGACCGTCACCACTTACCAGAATCAGAACCAAAGCCCAATTCTAACCCAATTTAAATGTATGACTTCCTTTAGCGACAAAGCTTCTACCAGGTCAAAGACAAGATGAGTTGGAGCTAATTTTCAGTGAGGCAGCCGGTTTGTCAACACGACGACTCGGTGTCATGGCGACCGGGGTCGGGCGTCACCCAGGAGACGGCCGCGGTTTAACATTCCCCATACAGATGTCACCTTGAAACCCGGTACAGGAAACCAATAAGATTATTTGTCTATAGACAGTAACGGAGGACCGCTCTGACGTATGTACATGCAAATTTAAGTAAGGTGTGTCGGAAAACACTGATTACATGTTTACCTACGTTCGGTGGGGAGTGACTTTTTCAGCTATCTGTTCTTGACTTGAGTGACAGGGCAGCACCGATTCGAATAAATCAAACAATTCACCTTTTAATCGGTAAGCAGATCAGCGATAAGAAAACAAACATGGAATAAACTGATTTATATTCCTGATAATGTACATTTCCGACTGATGCTAATCATTAGCATATGAATGGCATTTCCCATTGAACGTTAGCATTACGCTTGTGAGGTTTTTCTTTAGGCTGTTTTTTTTTTTTTTGGGTTGTTTTAAATAAGATACCGAACATATTTGTGAGGTCATGCAGACGCGTCAGTCTCACCCGGGGATGATGATGATGATGATGATCGTGGTGGAGATGAAGGTTATTACTGTCGCTTGACCTCCCGGGAGCATCACGCAGAAGTCATTACAAACGTCCGTCCAACACACCCTGCAAGAGGCCTCATTTGTAGAATGCAGTTCACCACGTGGTCAGGCATCCCATAAACGAACGTTTGTCCACCTTACCTGGCTGGAACTATCACTGGAGACATACCATCTGGGTGCGCACGCGTTTAATCAGTCCCGGACCCTCAATGCGCACTCGTCTGCTGCTTTTGTAATGACAAGACAAGATTAGCATGTCCAATGGTGTTACATGTGGCTTCTCCCCGAAGCGTCCCAAGCGAAGACTGTTGGGATAGAGGCATAATCAATACAACAGTACACTTTTCAAAAAGCATCTTCCATCTATCTGTCTTTGTGTTAGTGTGATGCTGAGGAACAAACAAGAATGAAGGTTAAGGGGTGGGGCTTAACAACACTTGGCAACTATCGCTCTCGTGGAGAACATCCAAGCGCTCACATTCCTCCCTTTCTTCTCAGGGACTTCTGGGGTGGCCCGAAAACTGTCGTCAGTGTAGCGACTGTGGTGGTGGTGGGGTTGGGGGGGGAGATGATGCAAGGAAGTGGAGGAGGGAGGCAGAAAAACATACCACCCTCCTCCTTTTTTTCAGACGCTCGAGAGGTGCGACGGGAGACGCGTGGGGACACATGGAGTTGCCACGATTGGAAGCTGTCACGATATGACAACCCTCTCCTCTCCGACCGCATCGAAATGGAGATTGTCTACTTTTTGCTGCTTTTGGCCAATTTGGGAGAGCGCCGCTTGGTTTCCGGAGGCTGCCTTGGTCAATGCTGCAGCGGCCGAGATATGAGCTGCGCCTCCACCGACTGGAGGATGGACCGCGTCTACGGGACGTGCTACTGCGACCGCGGCTGCGCCACAACGCTGGACTGCTGTTTTGACTACTTCTCCCACTGCCCAGGTGAGCGCCGACAGGTACTTTTTTGACCTCTTTTGCGACACTTGTGAGATAAGCACGCATCCCCTAAAGAAAGATGATAAGATGCACGCATTCTTATCTGGTGTGGAAATATCTCACAGAGGTGGAACTGTTTACCGAGCCGGGCCGAGCCGTAGGGGAGAGCGACAAGTATTTGAAGAATGCGATTAAGTCGATCAGTTTAAGAATTTACAGCACAATGGGTGCACGCGTCATCCATGAGGCTGAATAAGTTGTCGGGAAACAATCTTGTTCCGTGACAGTATTTGACTGACACGTTGTTCCAATTCCGAAAAGTTCCTGCTTGCTTGTGCTTTCTCTCCAAGTGTAAACATTCACATTTTTTTTTTTTTTTAATGTTTGGTACATAACTTCCATTAAAGACAGACAGACAGACAGAACTGCCTGAGAGAGAGGAGTGTGAGCTATAAGGAACTAACTTGGAAAAAAAAAAAACCTACTGCAATGCGTGTGTCTCTATGGGCATAATTACACTTCATTCATTACTATTTCATACAGCACAGTTAACACCCCCGCTGGATTTTTCTTTGTTGTTTATTTTGAGTGTAATTCCACTGTCAGTCACAGGAAAATTGTTTAACACTGTAAATTTGGAAGAGAGTGAAAATAGGAAGTATATTGAATCCTCTCTCATCCTGCTTTTTAGGCCTACAGAAAGCAACGGCTGTAGTTTCATTTTAGTGTCAGAAATGCAAGAAGAACACGCAGAGGGAGTATTTAAATGATTATTTCAATTATTTTTTTCTCTTTATATATCAAAATGTTTTTGTTTTTTTACAAGACCAGCCACAAATCACATACTTGACAGATTCAGACCCCTGCCCTCCAAATTTGCTCACAGAAAAATCAGACATCTGCGTTCCAAATCAAGAGCTTACATTTCATTAGCTCCAATGATACAATGCTCCGAACTCCAGCTCAGGCGTGTAGCGTGACGGCTTGGAGCTTCTGGAGCGGCTGCGCAGAGCCATGCCAACCCTCGTGGCGTAGACGGGTCAGACACATCGCCGAGCGGCCCGCTAATGGCGATGAGCCATGTCCGACGCTGGAGGAACGGGCCGGCTGCATGGACTACAGAGACCGCCGGGGAACCCTGTGCCGACTGGACGCAGGTGAAGCCAAATTATGTCTGAATGACTCCGAAAGCACTGCAATGATCGAGGTCTTTGTTATCAGGGCCTGCATTTATTACCAGTCTGGAGTTTGGCAAGGCGAGGCCCAAGATGGACAACTTTGGGACCCCTTTGGATGCAGGGTGAGTAACCACAACAAGTGGGACTGTTTGCTCACCAAAAGACCATCACACCTTTTCATCCCGAGCGAAAAACACAGAGCAGCAAACCAGTCCGCTGTTATCTACTTATGTAGCACGGGAAGCTAACTTAGCAGTCTCCACTGTCAGTCAAAGCATCAAACTCATCACGGACAATTTGTAGAACTAGCCGCACAAAATCCTTGTTCAAGTTTAACTAGGAAGTGGCTAGCGTAGGAAGCTAGTGCAGGAAGCTATGCCTTCACTCTGCACTCCTTCATGTGCCCAACTTCCATTTCGGCAACTTTCAAGCGTTGCAGCTAGCATGAGAAGCTAACTCAGCGCTCTGTCGAATGTCCAGATTCCATTTGGTTCAAATTTAAGCGCGAGCTTCTAACATTGCAGTGTACACCTTCAATCAAGGATTCTCCTTGTATCCACCTTCCATTTGGTCGACCTTCAAGGGGTAATGAGACCCAAACACAGCAGACCTTCACTCAGCGCTCCTTCCTCATCCAACTTTCATTTGGTTGAATTTCAAGCGTGGCAACTAGCCTGAAAAGCTAACACAAAAGTCTCCTCCTTCACTCGCTGCTTCTTCTTGTCAAACAGCTGAATCCAAATACACAAACACAAGCTCGAGTAGATCCACACAAGTCTAACTCGTTAGCGGCTAGTACCAACACCTTAAATCACGCCGTCAGACAAATGACAATCCAGATAAAAGACAAGCCAGTACGAGACTAGCTAACATAACCTTCTACACCTTCGCTCGTGTCTAACTTTCATTTGGTCAACTTTCAAGTGTGTCAGCAAGCGTCACAAGCTAAGGCAGCAGTTTCCATCTTCATTCTGGGCTCCCTTCACTGGTCACAGAAGAGCCATATCAATGTCTAACTGTATTGCAGTTAGCACAAGAAGCTAATGAAGCAGTCTACTCTACACCTTTACTTGGACCATTGCGATTTCTTGTCAATCAGATCCAAACTTGTTTTTCCTCAGATTCTGCGTAGAATTCTCCCTGGAATCCCGCTCCCCTCACTGTGCAGTAGAGAATCGGCCGCACACGCAGTGGATGCGCTACTTCACCGAAGGTTTCACGGTTTGCGTGGCGTGCCAGCCGCCCGCTATGCGCAACCACACTGGTGGTTGCCAAGGAGACGGCCAGGAAATGAACAGGTTGGTGTCAGTGTTGTTGCAGGGCACATACCGTGCATCTGGAAAATATTCACAGGGCTTCACTTATACCACATTTTGCGTTCCGGGCTTATTCCAAAATGGATTTTTACAAATAGATATTTGAAAATTCTTTGTAAGTAAAATACGAAGTAAGCACTCACATTTAAGTATTTTACAGCCTTCGACGTACAACTCAAAAGTTGGGGCATCAGCATTTTATTTAAATTTGTAACAATGTAACAAAAAAAAAAAAGTATTTCATTTTGAAGCAAGCCTGGAACTTAACCAAAAAGGTGGGTTCCAGTGTCATAAACATTTGTTTTGGCTGCAGGGATGCTGTACTGCAGTGGCAGGCGGTGGGCAACCCCCGCTGCAGTGGCACTTGGAGGAGGATCCGCAAAACGCAACAGTGCAACTGTCCACCGCAGCACAGCTTCGTCTTCATCTGAACGACTCTTTCAAGGTAGCGGTGGGCAACTTACTGAGCATTTGATTCGGGAACTGTTATAAAAAGCCCCCCAAAGCTCGTAATATATAACGATTTTTTTTCCCCAGAACAACATGGCGATAACAAAATGGCCCCCTCGGACTCAACATATCTGCCAAAAGGCACACAGTCTGTAAAATAGTAATAATCATTTTTTTTGAAATGACATGACATCTGTTGTTTGTTTAAATGATGTTCTTCACACGTTTTAATGTCAATTCATTCCAATCACATTTTCGCTCTTCTGGATCATTAAACAGACAACAGAGACGGATGGTTGTGATGAAAAACATGGACTAAAAAACTCAAATATAAGCACTCTCTGTACTTATACTTTTACCACATCGAGTCAATGGTGAGTTAAATTGATGATTTTTTAAATCCGACAAATAAAGGTCGAAAAACAACTTCTGCAAGAACAGACTCAGCACATCGTATAAGACATCCGAATGCAATGCGCAAGAGTCCGCAATGTTTTTGGAGGACAAATCATGCCCTCTAGTGGCACAGAAACGAAACACAATTCCAAGACAATAAAGAAGAAAAAGTGGACCCCCCTTTTTTATGCTTCTCAGTTCACTTTGTGGGTCCTCTCCAAAACCCTCCAGCGGTCCTTGAGCATCACGCCAGTGCGGTCCTCAAAGTCGTAATCCAGCAGGATTTGAGACCACTTGCCTTTGCCGTGTTGCCGGACACCCTGCACCAGTCTACTGTCCAGCTCAGATGTCCATTTCTAAAATACAAATAAATAAGTACATCAATAAGAGCACCACGGATCAGAGGATGTTCGTCGTGGGGCCGACTAACCCGAGGAATCCTCTTCTGTGTGACAACAGAATCGTTTATATCTGGGAAAACAGAAAAACAATCACTTAAATTTGTCATGGAACAATAGTAAATCATGTAACCAGGAATAAGGTACATGCACAATTAGCGGTGATCAAAATAATGTGTTGTGGCTATTCAAAGGAACAGACACACACACACACACACACACACGCGCACGTACGCACGCACACTGAATACCCTTTTTTCTCAGCGGTCTGATGCAGACTTGAGGCTGCATGCGAGTGTTCAGGTCGCACGCGCTTATTTGGAGGGTCCGAAGATTGCGTTTTGTCCTGGATGGGCGTGATAAAAATAAAGTCACATTGTTATTGTGATGTTTTTCAAGTTGGTCAACTGTCCGGTTGCGTTTGTGTTTATAAACAGCAACGATACTTATGAGTCATTGACAGACGGGGTCAGACTGACCCGCAATGTAACAGTACAGGTAAATCAATTCTCATTAGGAGGCATTACTTTGGCGTGATCTCCTCTGATTGGTCAGCCTTGTCGTTGCCGGACAAGCGGACATACTATGAGACAGAAAAGTGCAAAATAGTAAAAACACGGCGATTTCTCATGATACATCCCGTAAACGCGATGCATTAGTATCATCAGGCTTGACTCACCCCGAGTGACGTTTTTGCTTGACGGTCGCCCACGGTGACAGGAGATGCATCCAGTTGTGACGAATCTATGAGTCAAAGTTGCACCACGGATTCATATTTTATTGGGGAAAAAACTAAAAAGAAACAAACAAACCAAAAAAAATCCAGCAAAAAGGACAAGCTAAACTCACTACTGTTGAACAATCTTCGTTTGGAGCCACGGGCGCTTTTTGTGCTGCCAAGTTTACGTTCTGGTCTGGGAGGGGGAAAAAAAAATATGGACAGGTTCAATGTGCAATAGAACTATTATACATATAAACATCATAATGAGTAGTTCTGATTGAATTTCTTTCAATTCCCTCTCAATGCTGCACTTTGTAGTTGTACTTTGCCGAATGCTTCTGGAGTATTAATACAGCATGTCTGAATATTGCTGCTGTGACAGATTCGTTTCATTCATGGGAGGAATAAAGTACTTCATGCATACACGTACGTACGTGTATCTATCAATTGTGTCGTTGATGTCACCGTCAAAGCATATGAAGGACGGCAACAAGCAAGAATTCATTCTTTAGTGCAGCAACATCCATAAAACGCCACAAGGTGCCAGTATCACTCTACATACACATTCTTGCTCCCTTCTGTGATTATATTGTGGGCGCATTGGGAGATAAGTTTTACTTTTGACTGTTTTGAATTTAAACTTGTTTCAACATGCGCAGTGCCGAAAAAAAAAAAGAGAATGCATTAAACAAAAAAAAAACCCCAGCTTTGCTAGACCATTGTGAGACAGTCCCAAAAGAATTACACAAGAAATATGAGCGCATTCCAAAATTTTCCGCACCTGACGTCATCTTGCGAGCTGTCGGCTCCCAGGGAGAGAGTGGCATCCTCCAAACCTTCCATACTTTGCTCGTCCGCAGCGCTCGACACATTCGAGGACAATAGCTCTGCGGACGACATTTGTGGTCACGCCGTTGATTAAAAGAGGCGTCGCAAAGAAGCTTGAATGCGGAAACTCACCGTTTACAGATTGCCATCGGAGGGACACGCGCGGCATCCGGGCCGTGTCGATTTGAGGATTTGGTTTGGTCCTACGAGAATGTGAAAGGCAACGAAATGACAGAAATAAGGCAACTCTGACAGGTTCAGTTCGTGAAAGACTACAAATGTGCTGGAGAATGAGTTCAAGATTTATGATTCCCTGTGGTTAAAATTTGTTTGTAAATCTAAACTAGACAGACTTTGTTGGGTGATTTGGCTGGAACAACAGATGATTTCCTACTTTGTCTCCAGCCTTGAGTGGTCCGAGATGGACTTGACCTCTTTTGCCGCGGCGTCCGTAGCGTCGATACTCTGGGACAACCGGACCGCCTTGATGGCTTCCTGGGAGAAAGGACACACACATTATAAATTATTTCAACTCATATTCCATATTCCTACCTTTCCAAAGCCATTAACTTTCGCATTAAATGTTTTGAAGCGGTGCCAAATGAGGCTCGCCACTTAAACGCGGCCGTCTCGGCTCGACCGTGGGCCAGCGCAATTATGGAAAAACACCCTTGACAGCCTAATGATGAAATGAAAAAGCGACACATTTGCCCTAATCGCGAGGGCAGGAAGGGTGTGGCCATATTAGTTGGCATCGGCTGGTTGGTTGCCCTTCCAAAATATGGTAAGGCCAAATTAGTGGCGGCCAAGATAGCATTTTGGCTAATGATTCAAGATATTTAATACCGCCTTAAAAGTTGGTTCCCTTAAATAGGACGACACAATGCCGCGTAGGCTCTAATAAATTCTGTTGCGGACATTTATATGTTCCTAAATAACTTTTTTAAAAACTTTCAGTGAAATGAAAAGACTAAGAGGAAATTGCAACAAAGAAAAGAGGGGAAAAATGTGCTTATGAAATGAAAAGACTAAGAGGAAATTGCAACAAAGAGGGGAAAAAATGTGCTTGGAATCAGACTATTTTATTTGAATTGGAAGTTTCTCTCAAAACTCTCCATACTTTTAAAAGGAAGAAAACAAGCGAAAATGCTTTGTTTTATTTTTCGCTTTTTTAAATGAAATTAAATTACAGTAAGGAATGCAGTCATGTTTTGAGATTAAATACAAAAAAACATAAAAGGAAAAAAACAGCTGGGAGAGGCTGCGGCACGACCGTGACGACAAACGGCTCGGATAATTGATGGATGGATGCAAGGGAAAAAATATATATATTTAAGGGTAAGAAATATAATAAGAATGCAACCCCCCTCATTTAAATAAATCATGTTCCCCCCCCAATTAAAATGTGAAAAAAAAATGAATAAAAAGGAAAACATACTACGGTGGCAGAAAATAGCAAACCAGAAAATCCTCTTTGAAATCAAAAATGTTTTTAAAAAAATGAAATTTGAAATTAAAATGAAAAAATAAAGACCGATTACAATCCATTTTAGTGGCAAAAAATATTAAGTATTTCCTTTTCTAGCTATGTTAGCTTGGTTTCCTATGTGCCTTGATTGTACCTGCCCTGCCTCTATTGAGTTCTGATTTACAAGTACAGTTTACAATTACCAAAAAATAAAAATAAAAATAAAATTAAATTAAAAAAAGCTCTGAGCTACCCCTTCAGGTTGAGGAATTTCTCATCTAGTCCAAACCAAGGTTCAAAGTGGCAGAAAAGCGACGTGGGGTGGTGCGCATACCTTGAGAAGGAAGTCCGACGGATTCTTGACCAGGTAGGCGTCAAGGAAGGTCTGCACCATCTCCAGCAGTCGATTGAAACTGAACACGGTGAGGAAAGGGTGGTAGATGTCCATCTGTGCCACGATGTTGGAGAGCTTGGCTGCCACTTTTTGCGGGTAATCAACATGTTCTTTGAACCAATTGAGGGCGCCCCATGCCTGCGTTCTTTGGCCTTTCTCCAAACACACCGCAACAGACTGACAGAAGACAAAATAAGACACGAAACAACAGAATCCAGATGGGACATGAGGACATGAATGCAACAGTGGTGCGGAAGCCATTTTCAATTTTCTGAAGAAATTATCTTGTTTAGAAAAACACAAATAAATAAATACATTTAATTATTGTTCTCTCCCGCCCCCCCTCCCACACACACTATTCTCACGATTAGTTCCAAGCCACCCGCCTTTTTGAAAATCACCTGTATGACTAGGTGAACTCTGATGTTCTCAAACAAGCTTTCGTCCTGCACGGCATCTTTGAGGTGAAACCAAGTCTTGGCTGCGGACATTAGTGGCATCACGCCATCCTCGTCCTCAAATCGGGCACCTAGAGGTGAGGTGATGAAAAGCGATGACGGCAAATGAAAGGTTGCACTGCGACGCAGAGTCTGTGGTGGGTAATCTTACCCAACTGTTTTCCTTGCATTACTCGGGCGAGGAAGGCGCAGATTAAGGTTTTCTCTTGTGAGCTTCCTCCTTCAAGTAACGGCGTCTGAAATATTGCTTTTGGGAGAGAGGGGGAAAAAAGGCCTTTACATCATTATAAATTCATCAGATGTGATGTTGAAGGCGTCAGAATTTGTTGAAACACATGCCGCTGATCCCCGCAAGCAACACTACTCAAATCACAGACTGTCTAACAGGGGAGCCAGTTATTATCAGCTAACTCCACACTTTCATTTGCTGACACCCAAGTCACTCACCAGCCTTCTTCAGCGCTGTAATGTCGGGAGAAACGTTTGGTATTTTGGTTCGTATGAGTTTAATAGATTTATTTTTCGCCGAAACTAGTCAGACAATCAGATTAGTTGGAGACATGTTATTCGCCGAAACTAGTCAGACAATCAGATTAGTTGGAGTTGGAGACATGTTCAGAAATAATGAAGTCATATTGTTGTACTGCTCTAATTGAAGGCATTTTAAAACTAGAATTTCTTCCACGAGATGAGAGACGGCACAATTTAGAGAAACGTTACTTAAAACGCATTTTATGGTGAACATAACGACAGTATATATTTATCGTAGAACATAATAAAATGCATCATGAAATGATCCCTTCCACCGAGGCTTGTAGTAACAGCGTGCGTCAAAATGGGGCAACCATGCCTGGTAAAAATTGACGTCAAAATAACATTTGGCCCAGTTTCTCTGTGTTTGAAAGCATTACTCTTAATACTATGGCCAGTGTTGTATCTAAGGGTGCTTGAAAAGCCGAAAAATGGGACCCTTGTGACACTTTTGGTGTCGTGAGAATACCTGAGTCGTTATAACTTGTTGGCACCGTTTACAATTTACAGCAAGTTGAGTCGATCATTCACAAGACTAAATACAAATCTAGCGTCGTGGTGCGGTTGCATTAGCAAAGTCAAATCAAACCTCAAATCGAGTGTGAAGTGAACGACAACTTTACATTCATAAGTCGAGATGGCGCCATTGAAGGCATCGTGATTCCTCTCTTTAAAACGACGACAAATGGCGGAAAAAAGGAAGTCCAGAATCCACTTGGAGGCCACAGCGGCGAGTTGGCCGGTGTTGGAATCTTCTTTAGTCGTTGTTTTATCGGCGTTACTGTTGTCGTTGGGGTTTCCTTGTTGCTCCATGTTTACATTCTCTCGTTCGAGGAGGACTCTGCAATCCGCTTCTTGAATTTTCAGCGGGAAACGCCAACGGCTGAGGTTGGTTGAAAGTCATGCGGAAACCTGTAGCGCCCCTCACAGTCTCGGCTGAGCAATTACATGTGCTCGAACGTATACCTGTATCGTTATTTTGATATGAAGATAAAATAAACACATGACAAAAATAACAGTCAATGCTTTTTGTTTATTTTTAGTTCATATTACTATATTTCAGACTTGATATAAAGTAAATCTTTGTGATGCGAGCGATTGTTAAAAATTGGGAGGAAATATGAAAATATATTTGAAAAAAAATGTACAAAAAGCCAATACAAATTCAAATAGAAAAATCAAATTTGAAATTATTTTTAAAGGCAAAAAAATAGACTGGAAAAAAATAAAGGAAAAATGATATTAAAAAACGCAAAAATGAATATTCACAAATTACAAAATGGACATTCAAATGAAATCACTGTAAAATACGAAAACCCTTCATACATAACAAAAGTAAGTCTCGTAGATATATGCCGTTTTCAATTTTAAAATAATTTTTTCTCGATTTATTTTTAACTGATAAGAGCAAGTTGACTAATTTTTGAGCCATCACGACCATTTTTTGTGCTTACAGCGCGAGCGTAGTTTGATACAGTACTCGCGTGTGCTTCTGACCCCTACAGTTGGATGGCGGTACGACACTTCACATCAAGTCGCGTTGGCTTCCTTGCCACGTGCAACTAAGCAACACTTCGGCTCAAAAGGTACGTTACCTATTTTTTAAATATTATTTTTAAAATAAAACGCCATTACAAGTAAGTCATTAAGTTTTATTTTGTTAAATATAACAACTACGGATCAGTCCGACTAATCACATGCATTACTAATGGCAATGTTTGAAGGGCACGGCACTGGCCAGGCTCGAATGGTTAAAAAAAGAAAACAAGCCAGATAATTATACAGCGGAAAATGCATCCAAACACAACTTGTTATATGTACATTTATTTGTTATTCTGCATATGCTAACAGACCTGGTGATGGTGGGGGAATATGGAGACACATCGACAAGTGTTCTGCGGCCACATCATCCTATGGACTACAACATGCATACAAAGATGTCGCTTTAGACAGAAACTGTATGTGTGTGTTTGTGATCAGGAATCATTCTCTCAGAGAAAATAAAAGACACAAGCTATCAGAAACACCCATGGTAATGTCAATGTGGGAGAGCTGCATTTGCGTGAAACAAAAAAAAATACGTGATGAGCAAAGTCACCGACAGACACGATACGGTTGTTATATTACATGCCGGAACGTAAGTATGGTGGCCCAAAAGGGACAACAAGACAAGCCACGCTACTCCACTGTCTTGAAGGGGAGCCAACACACACACACGGAAACTTGGATGCAACACAAGTGGGCGTATCCATTCAATTCCCCAATCGATCGGCCCTCCCGTGGGGGTGCGCCGTTGAGGTCGGAAGTGCTCAGAGGTGTTCGGTTAGACATCAATGTGTGAATGATGTGATTGAAGGGAGAGTGAAAGACAAAAAACATCCAGTTATAGAAAACCTGAGAACTTAATTGCATTAATTGTATCCATCACAAGACCTGATTTCTACTATAAAATTAGACTATCTGTACAGCGGCACTCTCTATCTTTCTCTCTCTCTAACTACACAAAAATGAGCCACCACCTTCTCATAAGTGGTTATGAAAAGGTGTCATCCACTCTGTGGTCGTGATCCATTCTGAGACTTTTTTTGTTTTGTTTATTTATTTATTTATTTTTTTAATTCAAAAAAATAGAATCATTCTCCTCCATAAGACACAAATGGAGTGTGGCTGTTTTTGAGTCATTTGGCCGAATTTGGATTTCTGTCTGTCATTGTTTGGGTGCCTGACAGTCAATAAATCGGAATCTATTTCAGTAGTTCAGTTCAAAAAGTGACATCCGTATTACTGCACAGATAAAGAATGAAACTGAATTCATAATCTTTAATGCTGCAATTTATTTTATTCTGATACTCCTTCTGTGCCTGCTGTGGCCACCGGGAGGCAGTATAATACCGTCATGTAAATACTAAAGAAGAAGACTACTGTCTGGGGCTCAGTAAAACTCTATAAAATTAGACATTTTTTTCTCGAAAGGACAACAGTTTTTGTTCAAACATCTGTTACTTAAAACGCTCCAAAACCGCGACTACTAATGCTATCGTTAGCATGTTAGCAACGTTGTGTGTTTGTTTTGACAGTAAACGTGACCAGTGCAAAATTTTGTCCTAAATTTAATTGAGAAAAATGTTGGCGCAGATGTGCTTCAATTTCAAGACGAAAAAAATAGATTGATTTGTATACAGTCTGTAAAAGGTGACAAAAAAAAAATCCAAACAAAATTTCACTGTGTTTAGTCACTGAGCTTCACGTTTGTAATTGAACTGCTGAAATAAAATTCCACGCCGTATCATATTAAAAAGCAAAAAAAGCGTTGGCTTCCTTGCCACGTGCAACTAAGCAACACTTCGGCTCAAAAGGTACGTTACCTATTTTTTAAATATTATTTTTAAAATAAAACGCCATTACAAGTAAGTCATTAAGTTTTATTTTGTTAAATATAACAACTACGGATCAGTCCGACTAATCACATGCATTACTAATGGCAATGTTTGAAGGGCACGGCACTGGCCAGGCTCGAATGGTTAAAAAAAGAAAACAAGCCAGATAATTATACAGCGGAAAATGCATCCAAACACAACTTGTTATATGTACATTTATTTGTTATTCTGCATATGCTAACAGACTTGGTGATGGTGGGGGAATATGGAGACACATCGACAAGTGTTCTGCGGCCACATCATCCTATGGACTACAACATGCATACAAAGATGTCGCTTTAGACAGAAACTGTATGTGTGTGTTTGTGATCAGGAATCATTCTCTCAGAGAAAATAAAAGACACAAGCTATCAGAAACACCCATGGTAATGTCAATGTGGGAGAGCTGCATTTGCGTGAAACAAAAAAAAATACGTGATGAGCAAAGTCACCGACAGACACGATACGGTTGTTATATTACATGCCGGAACGTAAGTATGGTGGCCCAAAAGGGACAACAAGACAAGCCACGCTACTCCACTGTCTTGAAGGGGAGCCAACACACACACACGGAAACTTGGATGCAACACAAGTGGGCGTATCCATTCAATTCCCCAATCGATCGGCCCTCCCGTGGGGTTGCGCCGTTGAGGTCGGAAGTGCTCAGAGGTGTTCGGTTAGACATCAATGTGTGAATGATGTGATTGAAGGGAGAGTGAAAGACAAAAAACATCCAGTTATAGAAAACCTGAGAACTTAATTGCATTAATTGTATCCATCACAAGACCTGATTTCTACTATAAAATTAGACTATCTGTACAGCGGCACTCTCTATCTTTCTCTCTCTCTAACTACACAAAAATGAGCCACCACCTTCTCATAAGTGGTTATGAAAAGGTGTCATCCACTCTGTGGTCGTGATCCATTCTGAGACTTTTTTTGTTTTGTTTATTTATTTATTTATTTTTTTAATTCAAAAAAATAGAATCATTCTCCTCCATAAGACACAAATGGAGTGTGGCTGTTTTTGAGTCATTTGGCCGAATTTGGATTTCTGTCTGTCATTGTTTGGGTGCCTGACAGTCAATAAATCGGAATCTATTTCAGTAGTTCAGTTCAAAAAGTGACATCCGTATTACTGCACAGATAAAGAATGAAACTGAATTCATAATCTTTAATGCTGCAATTTATTTTATTCTGATACTCCTTCTGTGCCTGCTGTGGCCACCGGGAGGCAGTATAATACCGTCATGTAAATACTAAAGAAGAAGACTACTGTCTGGGGCTCAGTAAAACTCTATAAAATTAGACATTTTTTTCTCGAAAGGACAACAGTTTTTGTTCAAACATCTGTTACTTAAAACGCTCCAAAACCGCGACTACTAATGCTATCGTTAGCATGTTAGCAACGTTGTGTGTTTGTTTTGACAGTAAACGTGACCAGTGCAAAATTTTGTCCTAAATTTAATTGAGAAAAATGTTGGCGCAGATGTGCTTCAATTTCAAGACGAAAAAAATAGATTGATTTGTATACAGTCTGTAAAAGGTGACAAAAAAAAAATCCAAACAAAATTTCACTGTGTTTAGTCACTGAGCTTCACGTTTGTAATTGAACTGCTGAAATAAAATTCCACGCCGTATCATATTAAAAAGCAAAAAAAAAAAAAAAAAAAAAAAAAAAAAGAAATAACCACCAAATTTTCAATTGCGTTGTGGTGAAATTCTCTTGTGTTGGTGTAATACTGTTTTTTTGCCTCATATTAAAGATAGAACAGTGGAAAAATACATAGTTACTTGTCTGTCTGTACAAATCCCCCCGTAGACCGAAGAAAATAAAGTGCCACAATTTTAGGCCTGCATAGTTTTTGCAGTAGTTGACATAGTATATTGTATATATCATATCATACACAATATATCTTGTACTTTCAGCACACCCGCTCTCTTTTTCGTCCGTGTTCATGACAAGACAGACAAAAAAATGTGAAATAAATTAAAAATAAAGACATCAACAAACATGCATTTTGTACATACAGCCACGAGTCGCAAAAATGTTTCAGCCATAAATTGGAATTGAAAGGCAACCAGAGATGCTCTCTGTCGGCGTAAAGAAAACAAGAACAGAATAAATTAAATTTACACACACACACAAAAAGAAAAAAATACAAACACAATTATTAGGAAGCTATAAATGTAACCCTCCTGTTATGTTTGCTTCTCTGGGACAGAAGTAATCTTCCTTTATTCATTTGACCCGTGACATTTAATTATCCAGAAGTGTCCAAAAAAAGAAAAAAAAAAGGGGTGGGGGGAATCCCAATAAAGATAATTAATATTTCATTATTAAGCCAAGCAGAAGAAGCTTCCTTTCCCAAAAAAAAGCACTTAAAAAAAAAACGGGTCAACACAAACGGGAGGCTTGTATAAAACTAGAGCTACACTGCGAAAATTACATGACGTATATTCGTGTCTTCGACACAAGCTTATCTGTGTACGTGATTTGGTCCATTGCTATCTGAAGGAATATTTTTACTAAAATTTCCAAACTAGATTCAGTTACATTATAAAGCTTACAGATGTTGTAATTCATAAATAGTCTTCATAATAATTGCTTTTTTTTTATGGCTCTCAATCTACTGCTGAATTATTGGAAGTGATTCAAATCCTACTACCGCTCTAGAACTACTTTTTTTTTTTTTAACAATAGGCTTTTTTTTTTGGTTTGTTTTAATTTACCAATAACTTTGAAAAGATAAATAGATACGCTGGAGAGTACATGATTTATTTCCAACCATAAATGCGTATGGCGACAAAGGTCCTGATGTTTTTAAAGATACTAAATCCAGGCTGGGAGTTTTTGCGTGAACAATCTGGACCAAGTTTTTTTGATTTACAGGTAACATCATTCCGTTCTTTTCTCTTCCCCCTTTCCAAACAAATTGCTAATTTTGAGTACATGATTTATTTCTAACAATAAATGCGTATGGCGACAAGAGTCCTGATGTTTTTAAAGATACTAAATCCAGGCTGGGAATTTTTGCGTGAAAAATCTGGACCAAGTTTTTTTGATTTACAGGTAACATCATTCCGTTCTTCTTCTTCCTTCCCCCTTTCCAAACAAATGGCTAACTTCCGTTATTTCGATTTCTGCCGGCACGGTGGGTGACTGGTTAGCACGTCGGCTTCACAGAGCGGAGGTTGTGGGTTCAATTCCGGTATCGGCTTTCATGTGTGGAGTCTGTATGTTCTCCCTGTGCCTGCGTGGGTTTTCTCCGGGTATTCCGGTTTCCTCCCGCATTCCAAAAACATACACCGTCGGTTCATTGTTTACTCTAAATTGTCCCAAGGTGTGAGCGTGAATGGTTGTTCGTCAATGTGCGTCCTGCGATTGGCTGGCAACCGGTTCAGGATGTACCCCGCTAACTGTCCGAGGATGGCTGGGATAGGCTCCCGCGACCCTCGTGAGGATAAGCGGATTAGAAAATGGAGGGATCAATGAATATTTGGATTTGTAAATTGTTATTTTTGCGAGACAACTGTGCTAACCAGTGGGCCACCACCTCCCTAAGATCCGATGTGTCCGTTACAATACACCGTCGGTTCATTGTTTACTCTAAATTGTCCTAAGCGGATTAGAAAATGGAGGGATGGATGAATATTTGTAATTATTTTTGCGAGACAACTGTGCTAATCAGTGGGCCACCACCTCCCTAAAATCCGATGTGTCCGTTACAATTACAAAAATTGTTTTTTGTTTGTTTGGGGTTTTTTTTTTTTTTTTGCTAACTAATTGATTCAGTAATCGAATACCATAACAAAAACTTTACATACACACAAACATAAATTACAGGATCATCACGAGAACACTTTGCATTTTCCACAAAAGGTAATCAATGATATGTTATTTTTAATAAATAGGTCGCTACAACAGTTGTCCTGCCCCATTTTTTTCACATTGCTAACAATGGTACCGTCCTTTTTTTTTTTAACTCTTTTTTTTGCGTGCATTGTCATTGCCTTTCATGTCCAAGTTTTTACAAAGCAAACAAAGCACCATAAAAGATGAGTCTTTGTTATTTTTGAAATGCATGCTTATTTACAGATCACTTTTTCTGTGCAATGGAAAAGGAGGTTGTCTTTTATGTACAAGCGGAAACTGTTTCCACCCGTGGGTGGATTCCTTCAGGATAGCAGTTTGTCAGGGCGTTACGCGACGACACAAGTAAAAGGGACTTGCCATGCCATGCAGAAACATCGCTTCAAGGGGGCTTTCTCGCAATCACATGCTGGTCTCGCAGGTGGGCGAGAGCCCGCTGTCCCCGGGTATCAGGTGGATGTCAGACGTGAAAATGTGGTTATCTGCTTTGTGTCCGTTTTGGTCGGATTCCCCGTCGCCCGGTCCGACCACGCCTTGGTGACAGTTTTGCGACGTGGCCCTGGGCGACCGAGGCACGCCGGTGGCGCCGGCCACCTCCATCAGACGGTTGCCCGAGGATGGGCCCTCGTCACCGGGTGGGGTGTCCACCAATGGGCCGGTTTCCCCCGCCTCGTCATTGTCATCGTCCTCCTCCGCAGGCTGGATAAGAGCTTCCGAGCTGGCCATGAGAGGTGACGTCTCCCCATCTGGCGACTCTTCCTCGAGGATGGTGGAGCTAATGTCTCCAGGAGACGTGGTGCTGGGTGGCGTCGGCGGGCCCTCGGCAGACGTCTTCCCCACTTTAATTTTGAGAGGGTTGTTCCCGCGAAGAGATTTCTGTATGTTCTCCACCGCGCTAGTGAAACTCTCACCTTCCTCTATATGGAGTTCCGAGCCGTCACCCCGGTGAAGAGATTGATAAAAGCCGTCTTTGAGGATGTCGTCCGAGGAAAGCTGAATGGCCGTTCGATGGAGGGGCGAAGGCACCTGGAGGTGTCCGGTCTTGGCTCCATCCACCACCTTCATCTCCAGCTCTTCCTTGAGGGTGGTCTCGGGGCTGTGGGACCTCTTAGGTGAGCCCGGGCCGGCAACGGTGGTGCTCAGCGTGCTCATGGAGCTGGCCGTGTGGAGGTTGGTGAAGGACTGGGACTTGGTCATCTGGTTGTACAGCTCCTCCAGATTCTGGACGTTGAGATGCTGCGGAGTTTTGCTCGTCCACTGCGGACTCCCGCTGGTGGTGACGGTGATCCGGTGCGGGGAATTCGGTGCAGCCACTGCGTTCTCCAGGGTCCGTTTATCTGGCGACTTGAGGTTGGTTTCCGAAGTGGCCAACCTGGTGGAACCTCCCCAGCGGTTGGGTGACAGGTGGTTGTCCAGAGAGGTTTTATCCTCCCCTCTCTCCACCACGACATCCATGAGTTCCATACTCCGGGCGAAGGCGTCTTTCAGGTTCATGGACACGATACTGCCGTTGCGCTTGGCTCTCTCCAACGCCTCCCGCCTCTTGATGGCCTTCTCCTGCCTCTTCTGCTCCTTGTAAAACTCGGAGAAGTTGTTGACTATGATGGGAATGGGCAGGGCGATGACCAGCACCCCCGCGATGCAGCACAGCCCGCCGACGATCTTTCCGGGTAACGTCTGCGGGTAAATGTCCCCGTAGCCCACTGTGGTCATGGTAATGGTGGCCCACCAGAAGGAGGCGGGGATACTGGTGAACTTGGTGGCGTCTTCGTCTTTCTCGGCAAAGAAAACCAAGCTGGAGAAGATCATGATGCCCATGGCGAGGAACAAAATGAGTAAGCCCAGCTCGTTGTAGCTCCGTCTCAACGTGAAGCCCAGAGACTGGAGCCCCGTGGAGTGCCTGGCCAACTTGAGGATCCTTAGTATCCTCATGATCCGGAATATCTGCACCACGCGCCTCACGTTCTGAAACTTGAGTACGCTCTTGTTGGACTCGGTGAGGAAAATGGTGACGTAGTAGGGCAGGATGGCCAGCAGGTCGATGACGTTGAGCGGACCCTTGAAGAACTTCCACTTCTTGGGTGAGGAGAGGAAGCGGAGGAGGTACTCCATGGTGAACCAGGCGATGCACACGGCCTCCACGTGCGCCAGCTGAGGGTTGTCGTTGGCGTGGCCAAACTCGTCCTTCTCCTGAAGCTGCGGCAAGGTGTTGAGAGACAGCGCGATGGTGGAGAGGACGATGAACAGGATGGATATGATGGCCAGAATCTGCAGACAAATAGACATACGCAAGACCACATTAATGGCTGCCCTTTAAATACTGTGAAACTCCTCTACAACGAAACCTACATGGGCGAAAATACCCCCTAGTGTGAAAAAAAATCTTCATGCATTGACACCATTCCCACTTTCCTGCCCCCCTGTACAACGAAAAAAAACCCTGTTGCGTGATACGAAATCTTTTTCTCTGCTCTTGCCTCGCGACAAGATTCACTACAAGGAAGTCTAATCCAACAGCGACCTCTACTGCTTCGTTCGGAAACGGCAACAGCAACCGCCACACTGGTTTACACATGCGCAGTAGTCCAGGAAGTATTTGTTATTGTTCGTTTCAGACGAAGAATGTCGCATTGCTAAAATCGCTACATTGTGTGATTGTGTTTGTGTGTGTGTGTGTGTGTGTGTGTGTGTGTGTTTACATCTGAGATCAAATTTGCTACAGTGAAAAACCCCCTGTTGTGAAAAATGTCTTGCTGCAAACATGATTTTGTTGTAGAGGAGTTTCACTGTACAACTTCTGAAGATTGTTCAGAAGTCTGCCTCTGATCTCACCTCTGAGCCAGAAAATTTGTAGGTCAGTCTATCTCTAAGAATACTTTCACAGCTGAGTAACCTGCATGTCAACTCAGAACCTGTTGTCTCTCTGATACTATCTCCGAAGTAGGTGAACTCAACCCTGACGAACCCTAACTCTGAACCAGAAACGTTTGTGGTTCAACTTTGACCTTGTTTTGCCTCTGATACTTCTCCCAAAGCCGATAAATTTAAAGATCGACTTTGATCCCGGTATGCTTCGGCTACGACCTCCATAGCCTCCAAAATTCGCACGTTGACGCTTTTGACGATCCCAAAAAGTATTCAGTTTGACTTCGATCCGGTTCTGCCTCTGATAGACCCGATACCACATCTGAAAATTTCTAATTTGCCAGGCAGTGCTGCTCGACACTCAATGTCTGATCTGGATCGTAAATCAAGCCTGTTTGTGTTTCTGTAAAAGTCCTGTTTTGAAATCTCTCCTGCATTGTCTGTGCTGACATTGTCGATTCAATTGCCTTGTATTAATTTGAAAGTTACCCCGATGCAAAAAGAAAATCCCCATAGTCTGACAATTGTTGTTAAAACCCAACAACTCTTCAATGTCAAAAGCGAAATTAAGTTGAGAGTTGACATTGTGCCGACTTCAAATTGGATATTATGACTCGGGGTGCAACAGTGACTCGGGCGATTTCCATTGGGCAAAGTAGATGTGCATAAACAAAATACAAGAGGCAGGGAAATAAATGACGCGAATCAAAAGAGTGAGTGAAGGTCTGAGCACAAACGGCGCTGCGGGCGTGCTGCTGAATGACAATGAGTCCGGTCGTATGCAAAATGAATATAAAACATGGGCAAGTAATGGATACAAATGTGGATTAATGTCGCCTGTTAAGGTAAGACCTCGATGAGGGACGAAATAAGTCATCACAACTCGGATTAAATGCAGCGTCGAGTGATTAGAATCCCATTTAAATGACAGTCCGAGGACACAAATCTATTTTTGAACAATGTGTGTTACATAACAGTGCAATTGTATCGCAGCGCCACCTGTTGGCTGGAAAATTAAAAAAAGGAAATTTGATTGCCATTAAAAAAAAAAAAAAAAAAAAAATCACATTGGCCCGCACCCGAATCCCAGATAATAATAAAAGTTCCTCATAATGCCGCCGTCTGCCTCGGCTCAGATTCTTTTCCCACGGATCTGAAGATAAGAAGAAGCTTTTGTCCCAGAGAAGCTTTATGGCGTCAGTTTTAAGGATGTCGTCTTAGCAACTCTTGAAAGAGTGCTTCAGCTGAGAAATCATTCTCAAGGCATTCTGTCGACGGAAAAGGTGATCTGGCATTTATACGCCTTTTATCCAGAACACAATCAAGTGGGTGCAAATTGTACGACAGTTGGTTTTGGGAGAAGTGAGTGTCAGGTGACAAACGATTCGCACCAACCTAACAATACCTAACCTGCTAAATTAGCATGTCGACTTGGACCCTGATTTGCCTCAGGCACGACCTGTGGTATCTCTACTCACGAAATTAATTGGTTCTGGAAGAAATTTCTGAACTAAAAAAATGTTGGAAATAGAGACGTGTTTTCCATGCAAATGCCCTAATCCGTTCCAAGCCCCCCCAAAATACTGTATTTTTACCTATCGTATCTTGAAATTTATTTTGTAACAAGAGGCGAAATTTTCCAATTGAAGCGTTTCACAATTTGAAAATTTCATCTGAAGACACGTTCGTAAGTAGAGGTACCACTGTACTCTGATACAACCACTAAAGGCGGAAATCGTCGATTCCGTGATGGCTCTGAGACTAACTCAGAAGCCGCTAAATGAGTGGATTGACTTTGACCCAGTTTTGCCTCTGATTCTACGGCTGACTTTTTATGCCACCGATACTACCTACAAAGCCCAAAAAATTGCAGGTCGACTTCGACGTCGTTCTGGCTCACACAAGACCCTCACACTTGGTATATTTTCTGGTCCACTTTGACCATATGATCCCTCTGATACTCTCTCAGCACCGAGCAAATTCCCAGCTTTCCCGAAGCAGTCTGAAAGGGCCTTTAAAGAGCCGTTCTCTTCTGTCTGGCAGCGCTCCAACGCTGCCGAAAAGGTTCAGCGCTCAAGCATTTGTTTTGGACTCAATCCATTGTGTTACACGACACAGATGTGTAGCAAACAAGATAGGTGTCATGGCGCAGGTGAGGAAATGTCACTCGCTGAATGCTGATGAGGTAAAAGCGATTATCAGCTCAGAGGGGCAGCTTGAGCCCGGCCCGACATCACTTCCCAAGCCTTCAGTCACTTTACGCACGATGTCTTGAGACGGATGGCAGGATGCCGCTGGGGCCGGGGGGGTCATGACAACTGATCGACTTCCACGAAAGGACAACTTCAGACCATGACTTGAGACTCAGATGCTTTGAAGCAGTCTGCCTGAGAATGACATGGCTCTTTCCTGTCTCGACTTTGAGTCTGTGCTTCGCCCTCGGAGGTCAAGCACATTGCTGGTAAACGTTGTTGTAATGCCTCCAAAAGTCGGTACATTCACAAGTTGATATTGACACAGTTACGCCTATAACTTATTTTGGCTTGTTTAAATATTGTTGTTATGGATTAGATGTGACAATTTGGTTCAGACTTTAGCAAGAATCACGGAAGTTGACATGCTTGATTTGCTTTCGAGGGCCACATAAAATGATGTGGCGGGCCAGATCTGGCCCCCGGGCCTTGACTTTGACACCTGTGAACGAGAAAGACAACTCTTGCTAAGTTCTCACTTTGCGTTGGAAAAAAAAATGAAGCCGTTTCTCAGCGGTAATCTTTTTATTGATTTATTTTTTGCGGCAGAATCAATCGAGACGATGGCTTATGGTAATGCGCATCGATCCCGGTGTGTGTGTGTGCGCCATTTCATCATCTGGCAGTTTGGTGACCCCATTAACTAAGTAGTGTTAAACCAATGAATTACCGTTGTAGATGGATCGACCACCCTGAGCTCCCTTCATTAATCTGGCCTAATGCCTGCCGTGTATTTGGAGGGTCCTCAAAGGGTTGTGTTGGAAATAGAGACTCGACATGGCAGCCGTCCAGAAACCTACAGCAAGGCAGAAAACGGGCTATTTTAGTGTCGTCTCCATTCCGAAGGTGTCGTCTGGAGCGCATAATTGACTTCATCAAGCAGCCGAAACGAAAAGAGTGCTAAATTGATGAGTCCAAGTTAATTCCAGAAACTGGGACAATATGCGACAAAATGAGATGAAATAAATGACTTGCTTAGGAGTCCGTCTGGCCTAATGCCTGCCGTGTATTTGGAGGGTCCTCAAAGGGTTGTGTTGGAAATAGAGACTCGACATGGCAGCCGTCCAGAAACCTACAGCAAGGCAGAAAACGGGCTATTTTAGTGTCGTCTCCATTCCGAAGGTGTCGTCTGGAGCGCATAATTGACTTCATCAAGCAGCCGAAACGAAAAGAGTGCTAAATTGATGAGTCCAAGTTAATTCCTAGAAACTGGGACAATACGAGACAGAATGAGATGAAATAAATGACTTGCTTAGGAGTCCATCTTGCTAACCAGCTGTGGGTGTGTAGCACATATTACGCCAGAAGGGTTATAAATTCACGGGTGGGCTTCGCCCCTGTTATACATCTGATGCTACCTCCGAAGTTGGCCAATTTGTAGATTGACTTCAAGCCTTATATGCCTCTGACACTACTTCCGAAGCCTTACTGTTAGCAACACAAATCACTACCTAGCGCGAGAAGCTAACGCAGCAGTCGACACCTTCACTCAATCCATAATCCAATTCCTATCTTCTTACTGTCGTGTTTCTTTCCAGCTCACTGGCAAACTTCCTAATGGGGCCCTCCCCCCTTTTTTTTCACTGCATACTTTTGTAAACATATCATTCAAAGACCCGAGAAATACTTTGGGCATGTTTGTGGGCACAAACAGGAAACTGAGCAGGCTCTTATGAAATATTTATGAACATCTTTTCCGGGGTGCAAACATGCCAGTCAATGGGGGCCATGTCACCAACGTGCCGTCACGGCTTTGGTAAATCGATGCAGTGTTCATAAATTAGCATAACTGCACTGGCCAGTCCCTGTAAGGATTTATTATTATTATTTTTTACACCTTCAAATGTCTCCTCATCTGTCTTTTAAATATGAACATGATGCCAACAGGATGTGAGCGATGTGCTGACCAGAGCGCAATGAAAGCACTCTGGCCAGCTTAAAGATTCATGAGAGCCATGCTAAGCTAACCAATAAATGCTCAATTTGTAAGCTAGCGAGGCCATTCGCCGCTTCCGCCCTGCTGAAAGAAATTTAGCCGTGCGGCTGTGATAGCGGTGGATATTTAAAGCCGCTCAATCGATGGTTATAGCGACGTTGTTGTCTAGCCTCTTATTTCGCCTTCTCAAATGACTCCTGGCCACGTTGAACTTG